AAAGTTATGGATTTTTTAAAGCTTAATTTTAGGTGACGGTCTGAATATGCTCAACCAGGTGAGTTTTTTTCAACAAACATCCAATCCATGAATTTATGTAAGATCCTTAATACATTTTAACAATTATATTCCAAATTTAAACTCACCATCATTTTTTTTCAGAATTGGATTACAGCTTATCATTTTTCCTCACTCGTAAAAGCTATAAATTATTCCAAGATAGGCTTTACCTTTATTATCAAAACAAATACCAAATTCTTCTGCTAAATATCTGCAGAACATTTTCAGAAACTGCAATAATGAACAACTTCAGTTAAAGGTAATATACAACATTTGCAAACATCTAAAAGCAACACTACCAAATTATTATGAAATACCTTACTTGATATAATAGTCTCAAGCATCCTGTGAAATCATGGCACCTGGTGTGCTGTCAATTTTCAATAAAAGTGGCATTTTGTATCAATCTGTAACGATAGTCGGCCAACCATCGTTGGGAAAAAACTACCTTTTTTCCACATCAGGTCAGGTCGGGTCGTGGCCAGGGGTGTTCCTCCAGCAACGCGGGCCCCTTTTCAATACTGCCCCCAATTTTAGTTAGTCCACATTTTGTTTGCAATCGGTTACGCATCTGTGAATGGGTGCAACCAGCAAGTCTACAAGAACAGCAATTTTTTTCTTGGTTTTTCCAGCATAGATGAACTCAAACTTCTAAACAGATCAGTGTAACAATATCTGCTATAAAATACTAACTCCTGAATCCATTTATGTCTAAAAATTACAGCAAAAGCAAATGTTGTATATGACCTTTAAAATGCACATATAAATATGAACTTCTGCTGCAAAGAATAAATTACGTGAATACTCCAAATTAATCCCCCCCCCCAAAAAAAAATTGTGAATGAGTCTGGCTTGGAACAAAACAATACACCAGGGTGTCCATTCAGATACATAGTATAATATCTACACATTAATTGTCAGGGGGATAATGCATGCATAATGTGCATCTATACGTGTACATCGGCCAATGATTAAAAAAGATCAATAAGGCCAAAAAAAGTCTCCGGTTTCTGGTATGGGAGCACGTCGCCGTAGCTGGCCATGCGCGTCGGCAAAATGAAAGTTTTTTTTTTTTTCAATGCAAGATGATGTCTCAAAACCGCCAAACTCACTGGTTTGACTGGAATCCTGCTGCTGCAAAATTTTAACGTGTTTTTAAAAGGGGTTACGATCGAGTATTAGCTTTATGTGGCCTCTCTGGACTCCCATATATTTTGCACTAAATTTAGTCTGGCACCTTTTGCAGTCATCAGCCGACATTTGAAGGAAAAAAAGTGTAAAAAAAAAAAGCTGCGTCGCCGCACCACTTTTGGGGCAAGTTCCATACCAGAAACTGGAGCCTTTTTTTTTTTAGACTATAAGGCTTTTATTTCTATTCAATCTTTTCAATATTCAAAGAATCTGCAAAATATTGAGAATAGTGGCGGGAGAAATCTGAGATTTCAAAATCCTGTTAGCCCATGTTTTTTTAACCGAATAGGCCTATCTGATTTCACCGGAAGTTCCCATCCAGCTCACAGTCATGCCAACAAAAAGTGACAAGTGAAGTGCCGACATGAAATGCCCTGCGGATGACTGGGTATAGTTCGCAGGATTAAGTGACCACTGGGCCTCTACAAAAACACCCCAGAGCTGTAATGTTGAAAAAGAAAACAATGAATGGGAACTCTCTGATAAGTCGAATGGGCTGGCTATTCATATACCAAGAAGACCACTAGCGAGTGAATGCAGTTACAATCAGAGATTATGGAGCAAATTGGGGGATGTTCCAGTTGTTTTCTTTGGCTCACGTCACAAAAAAATGGAAGGGTTAATTTTATTTAGGTCGGTTTCGAATATCCAGGTTCCAAAATCCACACTGCATAGTGGAATTCAAACCGAATTAAAAAATATCCGGAGGAAAATCCCACCACTAATAGAGTAAAGAAATATTTACATTATCTGTCGACAAAATGACATTGAACATTGTTTTTGGACTTAAACTTTTCAAACTACTCAAATTCTTTACTCGATATAATTGATGATCTTAGGTGTGTCACATATTTCATACAGTTTTGTTCATTGATGTTTTGCATAGATTTTTTTGTTTAAATTGAATTTGGGGGATTTTGCTTCCAAGGAAGATTAAACAGTTATACTCAACGCTTATTCCAAAAATGACAGTTTTTGTTGGGCTTTTAATTAATTACTTTAACAAAGCATTTTTTTGTTTTGATAATGCCAGGCTTTCAAATGTTCCTACTTTTTCTACTATTCTTAATTTCTTTTACCTTGCTCCTCCTTTTTCTTGGGATTCCTACTTTTTCCTACTTTTTGTCCCACAATCGTCTCCTGTATGCAGGAAAACCCCGCCACATCCCAACATGGTGGGTCTTTTGTAAGAACTACGGTGAGTGCTGGATGGTCCATGCATCACACGTACTAAAATATCGCAACGGAAAGACCACCTGCCCTTTTCTGCGGGCATACACTTGCCCCCTCAGTGGGTCAAGTGGAGACTACGCCCACACTATTTTGTACTGCCCCACGACCAAAGGCATGAAAGGGGAAGTGCGCCATCAAGACTGTGTGCACATCAATGGGCAGGAAGCGCACCAAAAAAAGAGGAAATTCCAATCTTTCGAAGACTTTGTACAGTGTGTCATTATTTTTAATGGCACTCATAGGAGTAAAAAAAAAAGAGGAAATCAGCTGATCCGAGGAAAAGTGTGTTACACACTGTCATATGTAAATCACACAATGAAGGGCTTGGGCGCAGGAGTACTGCAACTGTACTTCCAAGAGCTTAGTTGAGGATGGAGCACAAGTGTGGTGAGTACAGAACATGTCAAATGAGGCTTATGATGAAGTGGACAAGGGTGAGTATCAACAAAAACTACTCCTGAAAGCCTGTAAAAGTCCTATTTTTGTCCCTTTTTTAAAATTTTGATCCTACTACTCTTACTTTTTTTTCACCTGGGTCTGCTTGAAAGCATGATATGTCCCTCTGCCAAGTTAACCTAGACCTGTTATGTTTAACGAGTTCAAATTGACTACAAATGACCGCAAGTTCAAATGTTCAAATCCATTTACCTGTTAAAATATGGCTCTTCTTCAGTGGACTAAACATGGAAATGCCAGTTAAAACTGTTATTACCGGAAAAAAATCAGGCAAGAATGTTACTAAACAAACACATCTCACAAATGATTTTTTTCCCTTTCAAAGCGACTGTTTACTGAAAAAATAACATGGGCTCATTTTTTTTTGCACTGATTATATTCAATTTCAAATGGCCTTCATCATCTGCTATGTCAAGACAAAAATCTTGCTTGTTTAACGCAAGGTTGTTTTTTCATACCCAAATGCAAGACAAAAAAATGTTAATATTTCGGCAAGATTTTTCACACACACTGTTTCTCCTCATATGCGTCTTTTAACTACATGTATGTACAGAAAGTTTTCTCTCTGGAGTACAGGGCCTTCAGCTGTTCCTGCGCGGAGCTGATAGATTAAAACTTGAATTCTATTTTGGGGGGTTTATTGTGTTCAACTGTTCTTTGAATGAAAGTGACCTATGTGTGGCGTTCTGGCAAAATGAGACAGAACTGGGCAGAGGTCGAAATGAGGGTTTGCAGGTATTGGGAAAGAGAACAAAATTCTCCTTACAATACTGTTTGTTGCACTTCAATCGGACATTCCGTTAACAAGTTATGGCTGTTTAAAGTGTGCACTTATCAACATGTCCAAAAGGTAAAATAGTGAAAAAAGGCCTTTAAAGTTTTGAGTTTTGTAGTACTCAGAGAAAATGAAAGATGCCTATTGTTTTTCCTTAAAAACACTTTTATTACACGATTTTTATACTACTTCTCTAAACATGTGTAGTAAACATATCAAGGACTACAAATATCAATATACCGGTACAGCCTGTCTCAAAAAAAAATGGTATTATTTGAAAACAATTTTTTTTTCAATATCAAATCTCAACATAAGTACATGTAAGTCGTTTTGAGCATCACATTAAAGAAAAAAGACCAGGCTTTCCAATACTTTTTGTTTCATCTCATTTGCTTTTGTCAATCCAGAGATAACTTCAGTTTACTGCGGAACACAAAAATCGAGTTTGTTTCTTTTGCCAAGTTGCAATCTTCAAGACAGCATGGCACAGTACTCGAAACAACTCTGCCCTTGCATAAAGGTGGCACAAAATCATTTTGGTGTATCGCACTAAATTGATTATATCTCTGAATTGACAAAAGCAAATAAGATCAAACAAACACTATTGGAAAGCCCAGTCTTTGTTCTTTAATATTATGCCAAGTAAGGATGACTAATTTTGAAATTTCACATTTAACCAATTTTTTTTTTGATTGTACCATTTTTTTTTAGACAGGCTGTATATATGAAAGTTGAAAAAAAAAAATTAACCCTATTTGTTTTTTTGTTTTTGTGCATTTTTCTCCACTACAGCCTGTGCCCAGTTCTGTCTCATTTCGCCATAAATGCCTCGCATACACATTCTGAAGTTGTTTCCCGAAATGGGTTGCTTTCGTGAGGCTCTTTGCATACCTTTCAACCCAATAGTTTCATGTTAAGAAGATTTCACATGAACTACACGTACATAATTTTTTTTAGTCATGATTTGCATATTTGATTAGGCACTTTGACTGGTCTTTTCATGGGTTGAGTTCGTCGTTTTGCCTCATCATGAGATGTGATAATAATAAATCATGTACGCTTTCAACACAGGCACATAAGAGCACAATTATAATAAACACAATAATTTTCAAAATAGAAGGCATTGGAAGAGAAATATATGAAATATTTTTACATTTAATTTTGGGAGCCCAGAATTTCAAATTCCGTACTGTGCCTGTGCATATATATGTATGTACATGTGTACAAGGCATTACTTCCGAAATCACGTTACTCAATATTTAAAGTCCACATTTTCTAAAAAAAATTTTTTAATCTGAAGATCTGGATTACCGTACCTTTGTTGTTGTAGCCACCCAGCTCCACATTGAGTTGTTTCCATCGGTGAATACAAATTTACAATGAATTATTCAATCACTAATGGTTATATCCAAGCAACGAGAAAAAGATACGCTGTAAACAAACTGAGCAGAACCAACTACCCTGTCAAATAAGTGGGCATAATTTAATAATGAAAAACTTGGGCACCGTTGAGTGACTAGGCTGACATGCGGGTATCAAATGTGGTGTCGATGTAGCAAAAACAAATTGTCAAACTGGAAGGTCGTCAATGTTCGTGCAGAACTCGGCAAGGCTCCGGGGCTGCCCAGTCCTAGCCCTGGCGCTAAACTCGGGCATGCTGAGTGAGCGTTTAGTCACCTGCGTATTGTCGTCTGCGGAGTCCGTGTTCAGCGGCGACACGCGGACGTTGTTCCGCAGTCGCGTCAGGCTGCTAGTCCGTTTGGCCACCCACTCGCTCAGCGTCTCCTCCTGAGGGCGCTCTTGTATCACCTGGTGCATGACAGCGTTTAAGAGCAGCGGAATCTCCTCGACCTGGGGCTCCCGGGCAAGCACGTCGCGGAAGCGGTTGATGATCCGCCCGGTTTCCGTCGAACGCACGTCGCCGCACAGCTCCTCCAACTGAAGCACCTGCAGTTGGGGCGGGGTGAAGTATTTGGGCGGGGTGCTGACCAGCCAGCTGTAGTCCGCCACACCCTGTTTCTTCTTGCGGTCCTCCTCTTCTTGCCATTTGGCGTGCTGGCGTTCCCTCATCTGGTACTCCAGCTCGGCCATCAGGCAGTCCCGCACCACGCTGGCTTCATTCTTCTCCGACAGTTTGATCTCGTTGCTGCGGAACAGCGAAGTCAATGGCATGCTCATTGAGAGGCCGGCTCTCTCAAACTGAGGAACAAACCAAAACAAGTCAATATAACAGCCATCGTTATTCAAAATTTATTTTGCTAAATGAGCTTTTAAAAATATAATGAACTACAAATAGAAGAAAAGGGGAAATCTGAAACATATGCCAAAGGCTGTCAAACAAAACAAGAAAATTAAGTGACTGTATTTAGTTTTGCACTCAACATTTTTCCAATCTTGGTGAATTATCTGAAATCTAGACCGACTGATAATTGTCACTATGTCCATTAACAAAACATCGCACCATGACCTTACAAATACATGAATCAGTCAAAATTTGTTAAAAGATCATAATTGTGTTTACAGTTTTTGCAACAATTATTGTTCCTAAATCATTTTGAGTTGTCCATATTTTTTTTAATCTGAAAAGCTTTACCAGACATAAAACAGCCCAGACCAAGAAAGGAGAACAAAATCAAATCACATATACTCTATTTGTCTCGGAGCACCAAACAAAAAAAAAAAATCACCATTCTTCAACAACCTTAACACCTGAAACAGATGAACTAGCCATCAACCAAAAACTCAACACAGAATTGACAAATTCACTCCTTCCAGATGAATTGAAGAAGGCAAGATAACAATACATAAACACCATTACTATTCTGTCCAACACCGCAAATTCATCCCCAACCCAATGAAAGCTGAGTCTCAAGACGTCATTTCACAAATTGTTAATAATGCCATACATACACGCGTGTACAATTACCTGTGCTGGCTGCTAGGTGATTGTGTACCGTGTTAGCTGCCTTCGCCGTCAGCTCTGCAAATGAAGAGGGGGAGAGAATATCAGGCACTTAATTTATACACGACAGGGTCTAATAGTAACAGGGAAAGCGGTATTGAATTAGACTTGTTACAAGTCTGAAATTCTGCCATCTGAAGATTTGAGTTTTTATAGGCCCTACCGGTGAAAGCTCATGCACGAGAAGTAAATGTTTATTGCACACATGAACGTATATAATTGAGTCAGCTGATTTCTTATCCAATTAGAAATTTGAAAATCCACAGCAGTTCAACCCAGGTGTGTTCTGAGACTGAATTTGTTTTGAGAAAGGAATTTTGATAAAAAACAATCTCAGTAAAGCATTTTCGTGGCTTGTGCTCTGGAAAATTTATCTCAATGTGAGGGGTAGAGGAAGTGGCAGTTATTGAGCATCTACAAACAAAAAATTAGGTCCTTCAGAGTATTTTAATGTTATTTATTCCCTTTTTTTTTTTTTTTTTTTTTGAAGATTGCCTACTATAAACCTGGTTCTGGGAGACATGTTTTTCTTTTCTTTCTGAGGTTTGCTTCTAACAAATTTATTCCAACCAAACCATGACATATATATTGTTTGGATGTCATGAAAGAGTGCACTGAATATAGAACAGACTTTTTCCTGAATTTAAGCACAGTTCTCTGATAACACTGGATGACGCCATCAAACATTAAAAACTTAAACCAACAATTAGCGTTTATTTTTAAACAACTGCTCCACTGTCTCCAAACTGGATCAATCGAACAAACAGACAGAAACATACTAGCATAACTTTACATCGCCTAAAAATTGTATTAGGCAAAACACCTTAACATATTTGTCAAGTTTCAGTGAATAAATGTTTTGTATGGTTATCTTTTTGATTGGCTTTCCAGAATACTTGACAACGGCTTGGTTGCCTCACGACACTTTGAAGGAAATCATCGCAGTAGGGCAAATCTACCCAGATGGACAACACGTTACGTGGAACATGTCCACAAACAGTGGTAACGGCAATCTAACGGGAAAAAAGTCACGTGCAAATTGTGCAAATTATCCTTGCCAATGGGACTCGATCCTCTGGAGTCAATCTCTCATCAATGCCCGCTCGTATCTTCGCACTCCCTCGGTCTCGAAATTAGAGGATGCTTGTTGTAGACACAACTGCACTTCGTTCCACGGCAAATTATGTTAGGAAGAGATGGGAGATGCTTTTAGTGCTCGAAAAATAACTGGGGGAGTCAATATGGTTCATTCAGGCTCTAGTGTGCCCCGAGTGATTTCAATTAAGCAGTGTTTTTCGTGTTAGCTGGACAAAATACACAGCAAAATTATGTTTAATTTTGGGCTGGGGGTGACAAAGCTGGCTATCAATCTTAATGCTTTTGAATGGTTTGTCTATTTCAAACGCCCCTAATTTTGGAAGTGGACTGTTTTTCTCTTTGTGGGGTAGTGGTGAATTTAAGACAAACTTGAATTTCCATCAGATCGGTCACTGAAGTGTACTCTGTTAAGGGATTGTACATCATTGGCTTTTGCTTTAATTTTCAGAAATGAACTATTTGCAGGGTTAGTATAATAGATCAAATATTGTTACACTTGAAGTTTGTGTTTGAAAATGCTGGAAAAACCAAGAAAAACAAAAAAACTCAAGTAGTCTGGTCCCCTGACTCCACTAAAGATGAAATAGATCAATTTACAGATGCCGGAAAATTGTAAGGTAAGGGAACCAGTCTAGCTGGCCTGCACCCGTTCATGAACATGTAACCAATGGCAAACAAAATGTGGACTGAAAAAAAATGGTAAATTTGGAGCAGTAGTTGTAAAATAGTTAGGTTTTTCCAACGGTGGTCGGCCGACCACCGCTGGAAATTTTTGCAAAAATACCATTTTCTTGAAAATGACTTCACACCAGGTGCCATAATTTTACAGGATGCTTTAGACTGTCATTTACCAACATCCTATAAGGTATTTTGCAAAAACTTGGTAGTTTTATTTTTCGTTGTTTGCAAATATTGTATATTCCCTTTAACACTGTCGAAATTATTTTTTAAACTTTGCTCTATTTTATCCTCCAAATCACTTATAAATGACTGAAGTGACTCGACAGGACGACCACACACGTTTTTTCGCACAGCCCTCCAGTATCTGCCACTGTACTTTGGGGGTGAACCACAGTACACTCCAAGAACTACCAAAGGGTATTGTCAGAAAGCTTGGCCATGCTGTGAGGAAACCCTTTGGACAGCAATAAACAGTAAGATCAAAGTAGACAAGTCTGTCATCATCTTAAATCACTTGGCTGGGTAGTTGAAGAATCCTCCAATGCACTCCCACTAGAGTGCATTGGCATAATACACTCATAATACGTGACTTGCAATACACAATACTCGTAATAGTACAGGGGTTAAACAAAAGTTGCTACAATGCTATGAATACATTTGAAATGTCCCATTAGATATCATTAATGAACTGCTGCAATTTGTGGAGTACTGTGGCCTCGTGGTTAAGGGCACTGAATCGTGGTCTGTGGGTAAAGCTGCAGGTTGTGGGTTCGAGTCCTGGCGGGGTCATGGTGCGTGTGCCCTTGGGCAAGGCACTTTGTCACTCATTGCTTCTCTCCCCCCAGGAGTAAATGGGTACCTGTGAGGGCAGAGATGGTTATTGTGTTAATAAGCTTCCTTGCGCCTAACAGGCTGCATCGAGCTGTATACTCCCCAGGGAGCTGAGATGGTATTTGGAATGTTTCATGAGCCCAATGAGCAGGGGTAATAATGATGTAGCGCCTTGAGCACCAGTCCTGGTGGATACGCGCTTTATAAATATCCACTATTATTATTATTACAATTACATGTATATGTACATAGTCAGGCGCACAAACAAATAAACAATTTTCAATGGTGAAGGCTACACGGCCATGCACATTGGTTTTACATGTAGGTCTGCCTGATTTTAGTTGCAAGTCCCGGTACATGTAGGCCTAGGCCCGCAACAATCTTCATACACTTTTACATGTAGTCATAAAACAGAATGCCCCACATCGCTTCTCTCTAAGTTTTTACCCCCCAAAAAGGATTTTTTTTTCTCTAAAATCTTGCCATGTTTTCCCTTAAATTAATTAAGTTTGATGCAGTCAGGCATGCCAAATGTTCAATTTTGTACAGCTCAGAGGGACTCGGCTTATCAAGACGAAACAAAAATCCCCTCTTGAGGATAACGTTGATTAATTTTCCCCCATCTCTCTCTGACGTCCTTGGGACAAGGTAGGGAATTACTTGTCCATAAACACCCCCTGATACAATCTCCCTTCAGCGAGGTACAATAGTTACGGCTGACATTTGGGCTTGCGGCCAAAATCTGATTTCAGTCTCCATGGCAACAGACTAATAAAGCTGGTATGTAGGTTATTAAATGACATGTACCGTACACTTCCATGCAATGTTTGTTAATTTTTTTTTCTTTTGGGTTTTTTTCTTTTGTGCCTTCTCCCCCCCCCCCCCCCCCCCCCCCCCCCCCCCCCCCGGACAAGATTATTTACTCCAGCAGCAGAATTAATGTATATGTTTTCTCAAACCAGGACCATTTTTTTTATCCAAATCTCCTTTTTATCGACTTTCTAAAAGAAAGAGGACAACAGAGAAAATAAACAAAGAAAGAAAGACAATGTAATCAGGCGCGGATCCAGAAGGGGGGTTGTGGGGGTCAGGGAAAAAAAAAAACAGCTCTAACTCAGTTTTTTTTTTTTAGAGAAATACATTAAGAATAATGTGAACCCCCACTGCTCTGACACCCAAAAAAATAATACTGGTAATAATATGGGCCTGTGCACAAAATTGGGACAGAGCCTGCCATATTGTTACGGAGGTATTTGTATAAACTTTTCTGTAATTTATTGTTAAATTGATAGTTGGATTTCAACAGCGCCCCCCCCCCTTGAAAGTATGGTACGAGACATCCCCCCCCCCATTGATTTTACAAGGCCAAGCATCCACTGTAAAAAAATGTGTCTACATTTCAGCATTGATTTGCTGATGAACCCCCCCCCCCCCCTCGCACAAATTCCTAGATCCGCCCCTGGTAATGTCATCATAGTTTCTTAACTACAAGTACGTCCAGTTTTTGCCCAGTCCTGCCGGAAAACTTTCAAAACTTTTTTCACAGCATACAAATCTCTCGAGTTGAAGTTGAATCGAACTTGATGGAGTTTCTTTAAAAAAAAAAATGATATCATAAACTGGTTGCCATGGTTACGCTCTCAATCATCAATCAACCAGTGCCCATTCATGGCTGTGCTAATTGTTAAAGAAGAATTTGAGCTATCTGGCAGAAGTTTTGTGCCACAACATATTAAAGGGAATATACATCATTTGCTTTTGCTGTAATTTTCAGAAATCGATGGAATTGGGGGGTTGGAAATATATAGCAAATATAGTTACACTGACTTTTTTGAGGTTTTGGGTTCGAAAATGCTATAAAAACCAGGAAAAACAATCATTTTCCTGTAGTCTGGTTCCCTGACTCCATTTAAGAAGAAACAGAGCAGTTTACATATATTGGGGAATTGTAAGGTCAGGGAACCAGTCTAGCTGGCTTGTACCCGTTCATAGGTGTGTAATCGATTGCAAACAAGTGCGATGGTCAACTGGGGCCAGTATTTGAAAAAAAGCCAGTTTTTTCCAACGCTGATCGGCCGATCAGCGTTGGAAATTGATACAAAAATACCACTTTTCTAGAAAATGACAGTATACCAGGTGCCATGATTTTACAGGATGCTTTACACTGTCATTCACTAACAGTCCAGCAAGGTATTTCAAAATGATTTGGTAGTTTTATTTTTCGATGTTTGCAAATGTTGTATTTTCCCTTTCATTTCGTGTGTTCCTAGTATTTTGCTTATGAAATGTGTACAGTGCACCCTATAACAAGAGATTTTGTTCGTACACGCTTTCTTCAGAATTTATTTGCACTGAAACACAGAATGAGAATCACACATGTACACAATGTACAACATGTCATCACAGAACTCAATGGTTAGCCGAGCTATGAAATTAGGCCCAGGCTGGCTCCAAAACTGAATATTTAA